GATTTCCCCCCCCCCCCCGGGTCACAGGGTATGCGCAGTGTGACCACGAAGAGAGAGAGAGAGAGAGAGAGAGAGACAGACAGACAGACAGAGAGGGACAGTCCACACACAAACAGACGCAGACACACCGACACGTGCACACACACACACACACACACACACACACACACACACACACACACACACACACACAGGGCCTCACCACAGCACTCTCGGCATGTGAAAAACAAAAAAAAATGTGGCGGGTGAATTTGCCCATGATCTAGCTGGAAGTGCATAGCTGGAAGTGCATTGTCATTTTTGCACAATTCGTATAAGGTCAGCCCTGCCCTTCATTTTCTCTTTTCAGTTTTATCAGTTAGAATGCGGGCAGGTTCCGACTGGGCTACCTCTCTTCGCCCGAATACAACGTACGGTCATTATAGTTGCATTTGACGCATCTTTCAGTCTAAATACAGATATAATGATCATACGTTGTATTCGGTGGAAGAAGCTATCCAAAGGGAGACTATGGGCGTCGTTCGACAGTCCTTGGGGACGCGATTCCGAGGATTCCGTCATCGTTCCACCTGTCATCGGAGCCGATTTTCGGAACAGATGTGAAAACACTCTGAGGACAAATCCTCGGGCTCCGAGGATTTCCCAGCCAAATCGTCCTCGGGTTCAAGGGACCTTGCGAGGTCCTTTGGAGCCCGAGAATCCGCGATTATCGGGGTGTCGGCGGCGCATCATGAAGGGGCAACGGAGGTCGAAAGTGGTCCAGAGGTGGTCCGGAAGGCGGAAGACGGACATCCCGAGGCGTGGGCGTCCAAAAGGTCAAGTAACGGCCTCGTCGTTTTATCGTTGGCGGTGATCGTCGCGGGACGGCCCTGTCGGTTCGTCGGGTGTCCCGGCGGAGGTGCACCGGCGAGCATCGGATGTCTTTGGCCGGCTCCTGCAGTGGTCGTGCCGTTCCTGCGTGCTCCACAACGGTCGAAAAATACGTATTTTGTAGGTGCCCTACTGCAACCACCATGGAGATTGCATCAGTTTCATTCGTTGGCGTCTTCCCTCTCGCACCGTTTGTCTCCGTTCGCCGCGCTTGCCCCCGTGCAAGCGCATCTTTTGTTTCTGCTGCCCTGTAGTTCATGGCAGACCTGTACCGCAGACTGCCTTTGCTGCTGCTCGCCGTTTTGCTGCTGCTTGCCGTTGTCGTCTTCCATATTTGCTGCCTCCTGCGTGTTCCAGGGAGGAAACAGACGCGGCGAACGTCGAAGACGGCCAGGAAGATGGAGAGGGTACAGACGAGGACCACGCTGTCCGTTGGGGCTGCGGGGTCGTCACGTCAGCGCTGCAGAAGTGCGGAAGCAGTCAGTCGGCCGTACGACCCCGCACTGTACAGCCACCTGCCGTCCCACGACATACCGTTGCCTCCAAGTGACGATGACGGCGACGACCCATGATGTTCTACCCTTCCTCTGGGCAGCGGTTCAACTCAGGATTGGATGGGGAGCCAGCTGCACAGGCAGGCATCCACAACGACGTACAGTGATCTGCTAGAGGGGCGTGCCCCGGCTGGTTATGACGCAGGACTAGTGGATCTCAGCTTCGGATTGAGGTCCGGAAGTGCCGAGGAGGCGACGCGCACCGTTATCGTGAACCCAGCTTTGGGCACCACCCACACACCGCCTCAAGTGACAACGCGGACTGGGCGATCAGTTCCGTGTAGAACGACGACAGCAGGTGGCACAGTGGACGGACGACGCCCAAACGAAGAGTGGTCAGCAACGGWGGTCGTTGGTCGAAAGTTTTGGGATGATCATCGGCGGCAATCGCGTGAAGCGAGCACGGCCGGCATAACGAGAGGGGTGGCGAAGATTAGCGTGGGGGCGGATGATATATTACGCGATGAAGACGGTGGAGTTGCGGAGGATTGCGAGGCGGACGACGGGGCCGGTAACGACGACGAGGACATGGAGATTCGTCCACTGGGGAGAAAGCGGGGAGGGTTGACGGCCGCGAAAAAGTTGCCTGAAATGCGCACGGGGCGGAGGGGTAAGAAGGGTGTGGAAGATGCGTCGCCTGACGAGGGATCGAAAAGCCGGGATTTTTGGACCGTGGAGCACATGATTGCTCTCATCCGGGCAAAAAGAGACCAGGATTCGCATCTTGTCGGTCTCGCGCACACCACGGGAAGGATGAAGACGAAGACATGGAAGTGGGACGACGTGGAGAAGAGGCTGGTGCACATGGGGGTCACRAGTAGAAAGGTCGTCGATTGCGGGAAGAAATGGGACAACCTGTACCAGCAATTCAAAACCGTGCACAAGTTTATGGGAGAATCGGGGAAGCCAAATTTCTTCACACTGACACCAGGCGAGAGGAAGGAGCGGGGGCTCGATTTTCGGATGGATGAGTGTGTGTATTCGAAGATGGCGGCGATGACCACGAGCGATCACACCATACACCCCACCAATCTCGCCGACACCGGTGCGACTGGAGGTGTTCAAATGTCGGCCCCACGCGGGGGTCGGAATGAATCCGGCGGTAGTGAGGGGAGCGGGGATGGACAGGACGACGATCAGGGGTCCACGAAGGATTCTATCAGTGGCGGTGGTGTTGGCGGGGGCAGCAAACGGAAGAATGTGAGACAGCAGACCTTCGACATGATTGCAGACGTCATGAAGGAGCACGGGAGTCTGATAGCGTCAACCGTGGACTGCGCGAGCAAGGGACAGTGCTCAATTCTGACCAGGCAGTGCGACATTCTGGAGCGAGAGGTTGAAGTGCAGAAGGAACACTACTTTAAGGCCGACCAGGCGAACTTGATGATGTGCGAAGCACTTATGGAGATTGCTAAAGCGATCCGCAAGCGATCGTGACGTCTCCCCGCCACGCGTGCCGTCATTGTCCTGCGTGCTGCAGTGACGAGATGTGCTGGTTGTGTACAGGCGGCTGGTTGTTTTTTGGGCGCAGGGTTTTTTTTTTTTTTTTAGGTATGCATTTATTTCATGATTTCATTGTATATTGGGTACGATTGCTGTCATGCCCCGCGGCGCGTCCTTCGGTGTTGCGCTACGTCGTCTGATTATAGAATATTAGGACTGTTGTAGTGAGGCGTCGCCGGCACACATGGATGGCGAGCTTCGGGGGTTTCAGAGAAGGGTGTGATTTTCGGGCGGGAGGGGGTCGTTGTTTTGGCGGAGGTCTAAACAAGGATGTTGGCCATGCGAGGGATGACATGCGCCTGCGGAGGAAAACGGACCATGAGCGAGCGACGAAGGGGCGGGCTGTAGTGGACGGGGACTCATGTCCACGGTGTACTTCCGCATCGTTGTACATGGAAAAAGGACATTCCGCCCGCCATTTCGTACCGCGGTGGTTCCTTACCCACGACTTCCTCTCGCACCGTCTGCCGACCTGCTCATCGTCGCGCGCCTGCAACTCCGCGTCGCCGCTCCACGCTCCCGCACCGTGCTGCGCGGACAATGCCCCTTCATGCGCATCAAACAAGCAGCCCCTCGTCCCCGTCGCGCCAGCTTTTTTTTTTCTTCGCCCGCGTGCCGCGCTTCAAGGACTTGAGCGCCGCCTCTGTCCACGTGTTCGTCCGTCGACGTCATCCTTCGTGGACGTGCTCCTCCGCCAACGTGTTTCGTCGTCTTCGATCCCCATTTCGGTCGCCATCGTCGTTGCGGCTCCACGACCACTGCCCCGTCATCTGCATCGTCCACGTTGTCCTTCGTCCACGTGGAAGCACTGGGAAGCAGTCACAGGCGTCCTTCTTCCGTGCGCTCTTTCGTCGAAGGAAGCCTTCGTTTACGTGGTCGTTGTTGCTTATTTGCGGACCAGATGCCCCCACGGGGAGCCTCGGCGAGGGGCAGGAAAGATGGCGGGGTGGGCGACGGTGGGGAAACCAACAAAGGCAGAGGCCACATACCGAAGTCGAAAAGGCAGCGCATCGATGACGCGAGCTCCTCACAAACTGAGGACTTCCTCGCAGACGAAGTGGCTATGGTGGACGCGCAAGGGACGACAGGGGTCGTGAGGTTGGGTTTCGGGCGGGATGGAGTGTCGAGGGAGCAGCTGCAAGCAGCGAGACGCAGCGTTGTTGGCGGTGCTGCCGGGACGGTGCCAAGGTCCCCAAACACGGCACGGGTTGTCGTCACGGCCGCGCGGGTCGCGGGACAAATTTCGGCGGCGGCAGGCCAAGGTCAGCCACGTCATCCACTCCCCCTGCAACACGTGTTGGCGACAGGGGGAGGGCACACGGCGACCGCGCAAAAGGGCGACGCGACGGCTACCGCCAGTCGGACGGCGGCGGCAGACCACATAGCTAAAGGCAGAGTCGTCGAAGACGCGGAAAGGGTGGGGGTCGACGACGTTGGCCGTGAGGATGGCTGAAGAGACGGAAAGCGGGAGGGCAATGACGGCGACGACCGTCCACTTGTGTCGAGGGGGAAGGGAGCCCCGAAGGAGGACGAGCTGCAAGAGAAGGCCAAGTTGTGGGTTGATTGCGACGCTTTCTGGGGTGAGGGCCCCGTGAAACCTCTGAGGGAGGCGGTAGGCGAATGCACCGACTACTTCGTCACCGTCGCCAACGGAGACGCAAGAGCTGAGCCGCCTTCGATGCTCATCATGCCACCGAACGATGTGCCTCGCTTCAAGATCGACGACCCGGCGCAGCGTGAACCGGCTCTCCGCAGAGCGCGCAGCGTGGAGAGAGTAGTGTTGCGCACCATCCACGGTTGGATCTTTAAATCACAGTCGAGGTGGACTGGCTTCTCTCGTGCAGAGTCCTACATCACGGTCGACTTCGCCATGGACCTCGCACGAGCAGTTTGGCAGGCCTTGGAATGGTCGAGAGTGGTATCCCCTGCACTCGTCTACCACACGGTGGCGATGAAGATGGACGTGCCCCTGTGGTTCGCAGGATTGAAGATTGAGGACCGCCCGGAAGACGACAACATGGCGGCCCGGCAGGAGGCGACAGTTCTTCTGCTGGCGGAGTGCTGGACAGATGCGCTCTGGTGCGGACAGTGGGCGGATGACGGGCGCGTAAAACAGGACAGGTTGTCCAGGCTGGCGGACTGTCTGCGAGCGTTGTTGTGCGCGGTCATGTGGATCATGCGCATGGGAGGTGATGACAACCGATCGCATTACGAGGCATGGTCGTACGCGTCCATGGTCGCGAAACCGACGATGATAGGGGCGGGGTCGTACATCTTCAACTGGCGCCAACACGTGGTGGACTCCGCCAACCTCGTCCTCCATCGTCTAGGGAAGGCCCACCTCACGCTGGGAGATTACCCGCAATGCATTCCGGAGTGGTGTGATTGCGGGTTGGCGTTCGGGCACAATGCTGCCCTGAAGAACGCGGCGGAGGCCGCAAAACACGGGTGAATCGGCAGCGGGCCCGCGGCGGATGACGATGGAGATGATGGCAAGTGACACGTCATCTCGAGCACATGGCAGCGGGTTGGTGCGCATCGTCGGCGCTTAGTCGACGGTGGTGACGAGAGGAGGAAGTGTGTGCCTTCAAGTGGACACGGTAGCGCAGAGGCGGGACGGGTGTTGCCATGTGCTGGGGGTGGGGGGTATGGCGAATAGGTGAGGTGGCAGGTCCTGCGCGGCAGTGTGTTGAGGCGGAGGTGCGGAAACATCTCTCACCGCGTCGAACAATAAGGGTGGCGAAGAATGCGCGGTCCAACGACGTGGCCACGTTGGCAGATGGCTCTGTACAGCGTGTGTTGTGAGCGGCTCCTGTGTTTCAAGTTTTTTTTCTTTTTGTTTGTTTTCTTCATGTACTCTTTTAGGAATTGGAGCACACTTTCTGGTCGTGCTCCACAAAAGGGTTTGTTAATCACGGGTGTGACACGTGGCGGCACTGCGCGAACTGCAGGATAAGTTCGTCCTCCGTGGTTC